ACTACTTCACTGATTAAAAAACCCTATCTCGCATCCCTCCTCATCCCACCCTCTCTCGCAACCCTGACATGCATCCCGCACCCCTAGGGGGTGCACGTAACCCCGGTTGAGATACCCTGCCATAAATGAAGATGCATTTGAATAAATGAATGAAGTACAGTAACGCTGCATAACTTTGCAGCCTTTATAGACCGTCTCCTAAGAAAAGAATCCTTTGAGACGAGTATGTCCTCTTTCCTTTACACATACTCCTATAAACCCGCCGAAAACGGATTTTCCTCACTCAAATTCCATCCATACATGAACTCGAATTTTTGTTGGCAGACAATGCTGAAAACAGAGTTAAACCTTCTGAATTGACTTGAACCACATCCTCTTTGAAGATTCCTCTTCTTATCAATGAAGTACGAGAGAGATTCAAATAAGAAATGTCTAGTGATAATCTATAGCTATAGCGATCGAAGAGACGAGCAGCTAGAGACATAGTGTGATGAGACATAGTACGCGCTGATCTCGACGAGAACAATGAGACAAACGAATTGGGGATTTGCTACATTTGATGGTTGACGAGAACGACTAATTGTTCAATTCTCCTTTAGCTATAACATACATTATACATTGTATTTGTTAGTAAGCTAGAAGATTGAACGAAAAAATAAACAGACATATTGTTTATACACAGTATATGTTTATACTTATCAGTTCATAGCTCGCTGCATTTATTTGTTGATCAATTTCAAAGTTTCAAAACAATCCATCAATCAGCCACTTATGTCATGCATAAGTAGGTGATTGATAGATTGTTATGACACTTTAAAATTGTTATAAAACCAAAGGGGGGGGGGGGGGAGAGAGAGGAATAGAAAGAATCCCTCCAAAAAGAGTGTTCGTCCAAGAATGGAGAAATTCATCACTTTTTTCATAAAAAATTCAAAAGCTTTTCTCTTCCCAAAGTTTATAGATACCATCAAATGTAGCAACTCCAAATGTAGAGATTCTTATCTTTCCGAGAACCAACAGAACTTGTACAGCCCATGTGATAAACCTCACTCAAAACATTCCCAAAATGATATACTTTTCACTAACGCATTGGCGGTAATCAGTTTCTGTTAAGCACACTTCGTGAGGCAACGCCCACTATTCCCCTCTTGGAAAGATCATCTTGAGTAATAGCTTGACCTGACTCATAAACTGCAGAAGTCAGCCGATTTAGGACGATGATATTATCAGTTCGGTAACATTTTAAACTAGAAACTTGAAAATGCACTTGGAACTAAAAACATTTAGCACAGGATTATTTATGTATGCATTTACGCCGGCTGAATCTTTGAAATAATCTAATACACATAATGGAAAGATTGTGTTAAATGAATTCGATTCAATACGCAACATATGGGGCCATACGATCCAGTAGTTGGTCGTATGCACATAATATACGATCACTGTTCGAAAGACTCAGATAAAACGGCCAGAATGCGATAGTTGAGCTAGCTGTTTGGATGGCTCATTATAACGGCGAGATGAGCTAGAAAAGCGCACACTCAGACGATCCTCAACAGTAACGTTATATATTTATGAGTGAGTGTTCCAGTGTTCCACTTTTCTATAGGTAGATAAAGGAGAGGAAGCAAACGAATGGTTGCACGGGAATTTTTTTTTCTAAATTAGTTGATGCCTACAGTAACTCTTCTTAGACTTAGACTCATTCTCGATAATCGAGGTTGCTGTGCATGACTAACAGGACGAATTTAGCGAAGAATTTACAGACTGGAATCCACAGGAAAATGGATGAATGTAAGATTGGTAACTTTTAGAATTCGACAAGCTGCTCCAACTGATATTGTGAACTCAGAGAGATGCACTTTTGTCAAATTTTCAAAACGAGAATTTATTCAAAGAGGATGCAGAATTTTCACGGCGTAAGAAGAGGTGTTGCAAAGAAATGAAGAATTACTGAAATGACTACTGTTCAGTTGAGTTTTGGATGGCTGCGTCCATTCGAATCAGTTTCCATAAGTGTTTCAAGCACATCTGTGGAGAGAAATCACGGATTTATGTGCGAATCGGTAATGTGAGTGATTTTTTTTTTTTGATTAACAAGAAGAAATATAATCAAGGATGGGGGATTTGGGAGATACAGATACAGAGATTTTCTTAGTTTGTTACTGGAGACACTATCTGAGAGGGCGAATTTTTCAAGGAAATACGGTATGCAGGTAATATGAGCTGATTTCAACAATCACCTTCTAAAGGAAGGCAGGAAGGAAGAAGTTAGCGGAATAGTAAGTTAGTTGAACAAACCGATTCGAACAACGTTTTCAAAAAAACATAATGAGTGCAATCAGGTGCTGCAACATCACTGGAGAACGAAAGCAAAACAGAGAAAGAAATAAGTACCTCATACTGATGGAATGGATATTAGGCTGATGACATAAAAGACGAATATTTGCGTAATACGAAACAGATACACAAACGAACTGAACCGAGTGAACATAAGTGTGGAAATAATAATGGAGAGCACATGAAAACGTTCCAGTAATGGCGCATTGATTTATGGAAGCGTTGCTGCTATAGACAGATGAGGATTTCATGAAGCTTGCAGACGTTTGTATAAATTTTACTGCAAACTTTTCTTAATGAAGCAATCAATCAATCCCAAATGAATTAATAAATTGACGCTCTTTAGCTGCTAACATTCACACATCACCATCAACCATTATACTGAAACTATCTACTTGTTTGCCAGCTGTCTCTGTATCAGTTGTCCCTAGCTCGCAAGAAAAAGTGGAGAGAGCACATTTTAATGGGAAAGTCTGAATGATGCAAATGAACGATAGTCTATGATTTTGAATAAATTCTAATGCACTTGCACAGGAGAGTTAGATGGACAAGGAGGAATTAGAGACAGATCGTGATTTAGACTGAATAGTTTGGCTGATATTGTAGTGCGTATTGCTCATCATAGCAATAATTACTGATGATATCAATACTGATGGAACAGCAATAACGAGAATGACAATATTAACAATGTGGAATATTTATATGTTCAGTTAGAGGGATATTTTCGGATGGTCACACCGACAGTGAGCAAGCAATGAGTAATCAGTATTGGGTACCCTCCTCCTGTATACGTAGTCCTCACGCGATAGCTTTTTAGAAACCGAAGCAACAGTTAGACATACTGAAACGCTTTATACGGCGGACCCTTTGACATTTCCCTTCACCATGTCGCTACGGCATCTTCGACACATTTGCTTTGTGAATTCCGAAATAAAGACAAATTGCTAACTGATTTACTATAGTTAAAAAACATTGGTTTTTAACATATTACGTGAAAATGATCCGCACTTCTCGGTGCCTTCAAGAATAATTAACCATAAATCTATCTGCAGACATCAATAAGAAGCTTAAAATAATGGCGTAGTAAAGTGCATAAATTTATTTTACATGCTGTAGGCGTAATATGAATGAATCGAATTGTCACACAATGGAATCAACAAACATTTCTTTTGAAATATTCAAAACTGAAAGCTGCCATCAAAAATGCATAAAAGTGACACAACGAATCGAGCATCCGACCGTCCGGTTGGAGATAGTGAAATGAATGAATAACTATGAAATGTACAATTTTGCACACTTGTGGGGTGATGAAACTTTTTGGGGATTTTATAAAGAGTAATCATTACGACGTTCTGATCAAGCCAATAGCAATAACGTTAAGCAGTTTAACAACAAATTTGTTAGATATGTGCTCGGAACAATTCTATTTTTTCAGCATGTTCCAATAAATTCTTATAGCATCCGTTTGTAATAAGATTGCTCTTAAAGTAATTAAAGCATAGGTCTTCCGCTGCAACATGTGCAACTATTTACAGCTATGAATGGTTAAATATGCCTCAAAAATCAAACAAATAAAAATGGCACTTTTTACATTCACTGACTTCCTGGAATGAACATATCTCCTCAGGGAATCAATTTGTCTCCTTGAAAACGTTTCAAAATAAACTATAAATGAATGAAGTCAATGTATAAGTTTGTCTCTAAATAGTCGATTTCAAGTGATAAACAAAACAAAATGATTTTCAATAATAATTAAAACTGTTCATCATGTAATCGCATCATGCAGTATGCCATATACAGTTCCGAGTGGATTTTGAAGTGAATAGATTACATGATGAAGAAATGACGATAAAGAGCCAACATTTTTTTCATCTTGAAAAATGGCGACTGCTTGGTTAACTCTATGTACTAAACGTGCTACTGAAAAAGCTCAATTAGAAGTATACATAAACTCGGTGGATGAAAAAGACGAAGTTAGTAATGCCGCCATCGTAGCATAGGTGATGTTGAGTTGATGCTGATGCAGATTGATTATTCATATGAAAGAGCCATCCGATCCGAACTCGTACATGCTTTATTCAACTTTTGAGTACGCATTAATGTATGTAGCGTAACATTTCCTTATTTTTGTACTCTCACTGAACAGGATGTAACTGAAGTTGAAAAAGCACGACGAACTGAATTTTTCTCAGTGATTATTCACTCAACTTATTAGGTATTGGTGGATTATAATCCATCAACTGAATGAGTGACGAACAACCATGGAAGATGACGTGAAAGAAGTTAATTGTCGTAACCAGAAATGTTCGAACATAAATGAAAATTCACAAAAGATTACAAACATTGCAATTGTTGAATACTATCGATGACGTTGCGAAGTGATGTATTTGTTGAAGGAGATAGAAAGGAGACTATTAAATTCGTGAACGAAAGTACGAATGAGTGATGCAGTAACAAATAAAATACTTATTCGTTCGACAACACTCACAATACCATCAGAGAACAGTTTTATTGCAATACGCAGTGAATAAATGAATGGACGGACAGTCGCTATGCTATGGTGAGTGATGCTGCAGTCAGCAATCTACCAAAAATGACGATTAACTAAGCCAAAATTTTCTCGTCTTTCCTCATCACTTAACATTCGAAGCATTTCGCATCTATTTGTCAACATAAACCTAAACTTGCACACCAAGCTACTCTAACAGTTCAAATCATATCCCTTACATTTTCATCAATTTCCACATTTCTACAACCAATGAGCCAGACCGCACTTATACTTCACAAATTTTCATACTCATTGCGACCTGTTTAAGCAAGTTAAAATCGGTGCGAGAAATCCATTAGTTATATTTTAGAGTCAGGCCGATGACCGCCTAATTTTTAGGGGTCGTCGAAGCTGAAAGCGGTTGATCGGTCGATGGTCACCGACTAACAAGTAACAAGTAGCTTTTGTCGTTGCTGAGTGGTTGTCACTGCGTCGGTGGCCGCCGAGGGCTGATTGCGGTGAGAACCAGAAAAAAATCGTTCGGTTTACAACTTTAATATGTTTTTATAGGTCGCACTGAGTACGAAAAATTGTGAAGCATAAGTGTTGGTAGTAGCGGTCTGTGTGACTGGTTGAGGAAATACTTCATCTTTGAACGATCGCCCGCCAGGTCGCTAATTCAGATATAAGCATACATCATTGCTTTATCAACATAACGAACATTGCAGATATGAAAGAAAGTGAAAATAAAATAATAAAGATTTTATAAGATCGAAAAGAAAACTGACTTGTCCATCGTTGACTTCGTATCGGACGTTCAACGGCTCTGCTTCGGGAATACCGACCGGTGTTGTCAATGATTCGGTTGCATTCGCACTCAAACCGTCGTCATTTTCGGCTGCAACGCTGATTTCGTACAACCGACCCATCACTACAATCAATCACTGTCATTATTATTGAATTCTGGCATCGTTCTTCATCATTCATCTCTTCAAGTGCGTAACATGACATAAATATTGAAGAAATGAAAAAGGTCACAACTGTAAACAAAAATTACACCTTCCTTTCAGAGTAAGCACGGATCAAGCGAACACCTTGACTGAGTAATTTAAATGCGTGTTGCGGCTGTATTCATTAACGGAATGAAGTTTTGTTTAATTGCAGGTAAACATTATCATAATATACAAAACTCTGCCGATGATAATAATGATCAGCACTGTGCATAAATGCTGGTTGACTCAAGGGGACGAAGCAACACTTTAATTTCTTTTTTTGGAAGGAATTCGCTTGCAATAAGATTTTTATCACAGATCCGAAAGAATATATGAAGCTGGTGACTGGTTATGGTAGAACAGCAATGAGACGCTGTCGTTAAGGAAAATTATTAATTGTATGTATAAGCCCCGGCCGGTTCATTGAACCAAAATGCAGTTAGCTAATGAAACAGAAATCAACCTCATTGTCATTAACTAATTCAACATACAGTGCCCATGGCTTGCTGGCAAACAGAATAAAACGAAACACTGAAGGATAATAAATGATGATGAAGCAATCATAATGAAAGGATGTGCACAACAGTGATTTATATATCATCCGCATAGAGGATATAAACAGTAGTAAAACACATGAGAGCAATGCAACAGATTTGAAGACCCTTGCTGTGGGTACATTTTAGGTTATGCTCACCTAAAAATTTTTCTAATGTATGAATAAGGTAGCGCATAGAAAGTCCTCGTAGGTACAACATCTAAAAGCTGCACGGATAATGATATATACCCCGTATTTGTTTCAGGAATAAAAAAATCACTTTCGGTTAAATGCATCCTCAACGTCCAAATTCACGATTCTCTTTCCAGCTCAGCGCTCTCAAATAGCTGACAAAAGACAGATTTTGAATAAGCTTCACTTGTTACATTGCAGCGATTTTGTTGCTCGACTCACTAAACATTTATGTATGCATCAATCATCCCACTATCCAATATAATATCATCAGATCATTTATATACATGCCACTGAACAATTGTTAGATGTGTGTCTACTTATAGTCATCAACGTTCCTTCGTCTCATTCTATTTTGAAGTTGAATATTACTCATACGCACATATTTCAAATTAATAAAAGTAGCTGCATTTGCTGCACAACTCTTCATCCAATGAACGCAAATGACACACGTTCCTGGCAGTATTAGGTGTGACAACGATTGTTAAATGTTACATTCAGACAGATCTGTTTTCTGTTCCGAAACGAATATGTATTCGTTTTGAATAATGCATGTCTTTGTCATTCTAATAATAGATGAGAGTACTCACTCAGATCATCCAATTCTACATAGTTCTGTGTCCCTGGCACTTCGACTCTTCTGTATGCGATATGTTCTTGGGGTTTGTACCATACCACGTACTTGTTGATTGGTAGATTGTAAGTGACCTTAAACATTGACTTAACTAATCGTTTTCATTTCAATAAGAATACTGAACATAATAATAAAAACGAACAACTCGATCGATTCTGCAGTAATAAAGGATATCGTGGCAATATTTGAATAAAAATCACCAATCACCATTATTATTTAATGGGAATAAATGATCGTAGCAATCAATAATTTCAGTTCTGTCAGTACGCGAGGGATAAATCAGGAATAAATAAAACAACCATGAAAGGTTTGAGAAGGTCAAAGAATGAAAAAAAAACAACCAACCCTGGGAGGTTTCCAATTAACTCTTGCACGTAAAGGTGTTTCATAGTTGAGTAGAGTTACTGATTGTGTTACAGGTTCAGAAGGAGCTAAAGCACAACAACGATAAGTATGTTATCGAATGCGATGTAGAATGAATTGAGCCAATCAAATGAACTCTTTCAATGCCTTGAGGTGTACTACCCATGCAATCAATCAAGCGATCAAAATTATGTGACCTAATGAGCCAACCAACGAACTGTTGCAAATATCATCCATATACAAAAACGACATCTCGTTAGAGAATGTCAACACAAAACGATGTATTATGGAGGATCAAGTGTATAATTTATCAGCTGACAATGACGGCTTTTGCATGTTCGCAACAATTCAAAACAAAAAATTTGGATGGTAGTTGTCAATCCAATTTGAACCTCTTTCTTATATTAGATGTTGCTAGTTTCCTCTACTATTTTTGTGTTGTACCATAATGCCGGGGAAATATAAAGATTAAACAAAAAAGCAAATGGAAAGAATGTGAAATGTCAACATCATTTGTTTGAGTGATTACTAGAATTTGGATGGACAGATATTTAGAGAGTAACGACTGATTTCGTATTAAAACATACGTAATCCACCGGTGAGAATTTTCTTGCTTGCGCTGAATTCACCATCACCGTGACGATTGAACGCATTCACACGAAACGAATATTCGGTATTTGGTTCTAGATCAGTTATTAGAGTATGTGTCTTCTGAAAATTTGTTTCAGCGGATCAGGCTATAATAACTTGGTAAAATCGACAAAGGAAAGAGGCAATTTTGGCCACACACGCTCATCAATGGACATAATTGCGTGATAATCGAATTTCAGAACTGAAAGATGCAGGAAGAGCAACCTGTTTGGGTACTGGTTAAGGATGCAAGTCTAAAATAATTTCGAGACCATATGGCCAACCTCCAATTATCGAAACCAGACGGAAGACTCTGTCTGTCTCGAGTACCGACAAAAGATGAAAACTTTCAGGAAATAGCGATACTCTTCTGGGAATGCTGTATTTCGCAGAATGTCATGAAATATCTCAAAGTTTACTGAAATGTTCTAAAGCTCAGATAAATGTTCCGAAATGCAGCATCCAGAGAAAAATATCGTAATATAACCGATCTTGATATTGCTCGTTCGAACATTGAATTCCAGAGCATGTTTATTACTGATGATAACGCAACACTGCATGAACACCAACGTTGTACAAATCAATCGAAAAACTGATTATTCTCTGCGTGAAACGTACGTGTTGGTCGTAGATAATGCCCCGTTGCAGCTTGTCATTGACAGGTTCACCGTTCAACAATTTATCCTTATACACATAATAGCCAATGATATCACCGTTCGCATGCGCCGGTCGCTCCCAACTGACTTTCACCGCAGATGCATTCACCTGTACTACCTCGATATCACGAGGTGCTGATGGCACTGAAACATCTCAGATGTATAAAACAGTGCTGATAATAACATTTATCCAAAATTGCCCTACGAATGAAATTTGGTACATTGTTCACTGAAAGTAGAAAGTGAAAATACATAATTACATAACTAATGAAGTGCAAAAAAAGGAAATAAAAGATTCTTAAGATGAAAAAAATGCATGCATTAACACCCGAGCAAGGCATCTCTCACTGTTTGTAAATTCTTAGTGAAGATCAAAACTGCTCAACGTCTAAAAAACAATGAGTAGTTTATTAGTTCTTTATTCTATCTGATGATAATACTTCTTGTTATTTTTTTTTTTAAGTTTATTCTACATTGATGAACTTGTTGTTTTTTGACGTTTGGAATTATTGCTGCTGGCTGATATGAGAGCGAAACATATGCGTCGTCGTTTCGACGAGACCAATTAAATAAATCGTAGTTTGGCCCACTGAACTTTGGAGCATAGCGTTTGCAATTGGTCAATAAATAACGCTACAATGGCTGGTCCCCGCGACGAGAACCGAAGAAGAATTAATTGCGAGAAAAATTGAATAAATGATGAATACATTATGGATAGTTGCATTGAATGGCTGTTATTTTGGTTGTTTTTGCTGTTATTGAATTATTAACACTTGGACGAATGAAAAAGAAGCATCAGCAATGCGAATGACGGAAATCTGATTTGATTTGTTTCGAATGAATGAAGATGATGATACTCATCTAGATGTACACAAAGGATGAAGAGTTCTCAAACGATGCATGTACTCGTGCTGGTATGGCTTGCGTGCTGTGCGAAGAACATGAAAACGTTTTTCATTTCCTCAACTGGTTGCAAAGCATTAACAGCATTCTCGAAATGAACCGTTTACATTCACCGCTCAATGCAAATAAATAAATAAATAAATCAACAAAATGAACTGAGAAATAATTCCGAAACGAAGACAATGATGAGACGAATGTTCTCATCCTCTTTTCAATACTCGATAACTTCAATTCATCCCATTTCATCTCAATCCTATCGAATTCAACAGAATAAATGCATTCATTTTGAGAGTTCAAGAGAATCGATCCTCTTCTACTATTCCGAACATCAAATCAACATAACCCTCTGTCTTTTAATGCCGTTCTGCCTTTGATGAACACTTCGTTCACTGCCGAACGCTTAAAAAGCGTTTAATCGAATATGACCACTTAACTGCTTTATCTACACGATAAATTAAATTTGCAGCATGCAATACTTGACTTGGACATGATCTGCGATGTACTGTGCAACAGAACAGCGCAATAATCACAACAAATCAAAAATACACCATTCACTCTGCCATTTACGATTCAATATTACAAAAAAGATTTCTGCTCTTAGAATTTTCGCTCATTTCAGCGATACTTTGAGTGCATTCAAGAAAGTATAATTAACGAAGTGTTCCTTATTTCGAATGAGTAAAAATGAACAAATTTCCTGATAGCAACATACGAACAATTCAAATATTTCTGAAGTGTTCGGCATACGGTTTTTAGACATGCAAATAAACAAGAAGTTGAATGATGAAAATTCGTGAGATGATGATAGCAATGATCAAGATCAATGAAAAGAAACAATGAAAATGCAAAGGAGAATAATGATCCTTTTAAATGCGATGACACAGTTTATAATTTGATTACAAGAATAACTGGTAGACAGAGAGCGAAGCCGAACTTATTGTGTCTTCTCGCGTGATTTTTACTTTAAAATCATTGCACAAATTCTTCGTTATCTCACAAAAAATATAAAACAGAATATTTATAAGTTATCATCAATTATTACAATACTTTACAAAGACAAAGCAAACCAAGAACAATAAAAATTCTATGGTAACATTTTAAAAAATTTAACGACGACGAACCTTTTTGTTGGGTAGACGATTTGGCAGCGCTGACATTCGCAATGAATGAGCTATTAAGCGAGAGCAATGAAAGTAGCGGGATGCAAGCGAAAAATCGAAACGGCGAATAGAGGGGACTGTTCGGGTGGACGAATGCTTCATGCAGTGAACACCACATAAAAACCTGAGCTTTTGGCTTAGTACCAGCCAGTAGAATAATTCAACATAAACATTCTAATTTTGACTGCCAGTGAAGAACAACGCAAAAACGATTCGACGACAGTTCAAATTGAAAAACTGCTTCAAATTTTCGTCTCAGTTATTTCTTCTATTCAGCTTTTTTCGATAAATACAGAACCAATAATCCGTATTACAAAAATTGATCTCTCGCACTGATATACAGCCAATAATCTAAATAAGCCGAAATGATTAAATTTTTAATGAATTCATAAATACGATGAGAAATGCGCCAAACAAGAACATAACACAATGTAACTTCAAAATATCAAAAAGTTTTACTGCACAATATGCGGAAATAAGTATTCGTTTACTCGATTCCAACTAACATCTCATAACTTGACTAAACGCTTCAATATAAACATAAATATGCATATTATATTATTGTATGTACAACTGCATTCAAGACGTTAGAAACGATGCATGTTGCATGAGATAAAAGTACGGTTTGTTAGCTTCATTCAGTTCGATACCTCAGATATAACTACTGAAAATGCACAAAACGGCCAAAATAACAACCATCGTGTAAAAATTACATACTGCACCGGGAAACGCTGTTTCCAGTTTATGGATATTTATTCACAAACGAAGCAAAACGGTGTGGATGACGATGCCCTTTTGATTATTCATCAGCAAAATGCCACTGATTAGTTTACGCAACAACAGCAGTGTGTTATGCTCAAGAAATGAGCAGCACATTAATGAGTAATTTGTTTGGTTTGTATCTAATCAACCAATTAACTCTTTTCTGCTCAGCATGCCCATTTACAAAGTGTATCAAAATATTTGATCAGTGCTCCCGCTTGGTATTTGAAAACTTCGTTTACATCACCGTTATGCAAGACAAAATAAGTATTTGAGGAAAACTCACAAATGTTAGCGTAAAATATTCACACATAAAGGATTGAGAAAAGTGATGATGAAAGTTTTGGTGTGAATTAATTCTTCATGGTTTTCATTCATACGAATCAAGGCTTCATTCAGTTCAGAAACAAAAATTGTCGATCAATCTTTCATTGAATTACCAACCAATTCATTACCCTAGATGAAGAATTCAAAAGAGTGAATACATCAAACTTCTAGAGTTTCTGGCATATTCTATGGATCACCGATTGTGCAGCAGACTTCATGTGACTGTGCTGCAAATCAGACTCAACGGTGACTCTGTCTTACTAGTTAGTGAAAATCCATCCACATAAGCCCCTGATCTTGCACCTAATGATCGCCAGTTAGTGCGTATTTCTTTGAGTGATGAACGCTTGTAAGCATGAAACGATTACGTGAAAACCCTTGACTAATGTAGCAAATATGAACCAACTAGTTCATCATGAACACTTGAAACGAAACGTTCTCAACTATCTGTCTTTATATAGATGCTGCCCCTTATCACGAAGAACAAAACAGGTCGAATATACCGTCATTGAATCTGTTGCGGATCAACAAGCAAAGTATTTTCAGTTCTAGAGGGATGGCTTTGTGTGAATGAGAATGAAACCTAACAGATGAGTGATACAAATAAACTAATAAAATGAAAGAATTCAAAAAATTGTTTCGAGTTTATAAACTCTGTTCGAAACAACTGTCGATATCGGCATGGATGATGTAGTATCAGCACAAATATGATTAGTGGTTGTTGTATCAACGCTAATAAGTAGTATTATTGAAACGGCAAGACAACTCACTTTCTAGACGCTATACCGCAATCAGCAGCACTTTCAACGAAAGAAACAAAATGACAAAAGGGAATGAACCAGCAATGAACGAATATGACTGCTGTTGACGACTACTACAATTACTGCTAAACATGGGCGGAGATAGATATTAAAACTAATCCATACATCCATCCAACTATTCATCCATCTACACCACGCTAAAACTAATAGAAAAGACCAAAAAATTAAAGAAGTCATGTGAATACAACTAACGAGAAAATAAATACGAAAGTACACACTGTTGTAAGTAAAGGTTTTGATATTCTCTTGAAAGGCATCCCTAACTTTGACTTATCGAAACGATCATTCATTTATTCACAAATTAATTCTCTCGAACCGTAAACCTTCGACTACTGTTCCTCTAGGATTTATGAAACGCTATACACCTCGACTCATAATGACAATTCTAGTGCCTCACGACTAATTAAATATCAAGTTTTTATCGTTTATTATAGTGTCTGTTGAACTATGATTAGAAAAGATGGTATTCCTTCAAATGGAACCTCAACTTATTGCCAACTTCAGTTTAACAGAAAAGGGGTAGTAAATATAAAAAATGAACATGCAGTTCACAACTGGCCAATTGATAAATGAATAAATATTACATCAAAGAGATGTGACTGCACATCATAACATTAAAGGGAGATTCAAGAAGAGACGAGAGGTGGGAGGTTGATGAATAAGGTTAGGAAAAGCAACACTGAGAAGATACGGTTCGGTCAGGTCACAAATAGATGCGTATGTGCATAATATAATATATGCAGCAGCATTATGCAGCACGGCATCGAAAGCGCGTTGCGTCGCCTAAGGAAGACCACTATCATACAATAACTGTTATGCGTCATTCACCAACATCATACGTCCATTTTCGTACTCGCATTTATGCAGTTAGTACCTGCAGAAGTTTTTAATGCGCATCGCCTTATTTCATTATAACGCATTGGTTAGACATCATTACTATAATTCTCTTATTAATGCTGTACTCAAAATCAAAAGAAATAATAATATTTCTTTTCTGATTCGTTTTTATATAAATTATAAACAATTACTGATATGCCATCTTGAACATTTCGATGAATAAATGTGGCAGAAAAAATTCTTCTGTTCGTTGTTCATTTATGCAAAACAATCACAGTACAAACCAAGAACGATAAACATTAATCAATCGTGCACACAACAATTAAGCTATTCACTAAGAGCAAGTGCAATGATCAATCAAAGAATCACTTTAAAACGCAGCTTATAAGTAAATAAACAGCTACATAATTATGTAAAGCCAAACTACAATCGACGAAAAAATATTTTTAAATGTTATTGTGCTCTCAGAAAGCACAATTTAGGAGCGATAAAGTAATAGTGAACAAACATCGTAAAATGATCGTTGTTGCG